GAGGAATAAACCGCTCCTTTTCTTGCAGTGCGGGGAAATCTGGGATGACTGTATTGCTGGGAGCTGGAAAACCCAACAGGAGAAGGACTTCAGAAGGGAAAGTGGCACCAACCGGCTGAATTTCATACAGCTCTGGACTGAATTAAAGGGCAAAAGCACAGGAAAACAAATCCTGGAGGAAGGCCAGAGGGCATGACAGCTAATGACTGCCACTCTGGAGCATCCCGCATCCAGGGTTAGTGGGGCTGGGAAGAGGGATGTGAGCTCACCCCACCGCAGTCCCACAATGCTGTGAGTCCCTGCTGGCATGGCTGGGACTGGGCACCCCTTGGCCCTCCAGTCTTACGATAAAGAATAATTTCGTTATGCTGAAGTGTGGGTTAGCACAAGAAAATGCCTTGGATTCCTGTAGTGTGTCTAGCCGATAACATCCATTTGCTTCCATCCATGACTCTTTTGGGATGGGGCTGCTACCCCTCTGCTATCCTCTGCCACCCCTCAGAGACCACCAGCCCTGCCTGCCCCTGGGCCCTGGGGATGTCCTCACTCCAGGGAAGGATGTCCTCACTCCAGGGAAGGATGTCCTCACTCCAGGGAATTGAGATGTGCAGGGCAAACGGGGAGGAGGGCAACCAGCCGTGTTCCACTTTGCAACACGGCACTGCACCCGCAACGGTGCCTTGCAGGACAGGACCCCCTCCCCGCTCCCCAGCCCATCCAGCTGCAAACAGCATCCACAACCTGCTGGGGGGCTTAGGGACCAGATCCCGTCCCCACTGCCACTTACCCGGTGGCCGCCGCCATGACACAGCCACCTTGCTCCGGGGTGGCCTCCACGCAGCAGCCCGTGCTGTCGTGGCTCATGCCAAAATTGTGACCAATTTCATGGGCCATAGTAGCAGCTGCTCCAATGGGCTGCTCCGAGTGGTCCTGCACAGGGATGGGGCATGCATTAGCACAGCAGCCAGGAGCGATGGAGAGGGGTGATCCCACAGCAGGGAATGTGGTTGGGGTGATAGAGGGACCACAACATCCCTGGGATCGCAACTGGATCCCATGGGAGGGACAGAGAAAGGGATGGAGGAGGATTCATGGAAGTGGGGTTTGGTCTCCTAAAAGTCCTACGTGGGACTGTTGGGAAACTCTTTTGCCAGAGCCAACTGCTGAAAACCTGGGGCCTTGGAAGGCGCATCCCAAAACCCAGAAACCTCAGTGCCCCACACCACCACCCTGCTTAGGGACCACAGGTCACCAGGGCCACCATCACCCCACCAGGAGGAGGATAAGAGTTATCTGGGGCAAAACCAGAAAGACCCTACAAAACCAGAAAGCACATGCAGGGAACAAGCAGGTGCTATTCAATATGAGGGGGAGAAGCAACACAGGAGATCCCAGCACTGCTGCTAGCTGCAAGCTGGGGGTGTACATGGGGCAGGAGACCTTTAAACGAGCCCTTTCTCACCCTCCTTAGTACTTGGCCAAAATCTGAGAGGTGTATGGGGCTACCAGCATCATCATCCCCTCTCAGGCTGCATCCCAGAACCAACCCCAGATAGCTGGTCCTCCAAGCCTGTGAAGAACCTCAGCAAGATGGGACAGCGATGGGGTGCCCCAGCCTGGGAGGAGCAGCAGGGACCTCCATGCCTTTCTTACCACACTGACACCTCCGGAGTTATCCATGCTGCACATCCCCTCCAGTGGGGCCATGCCGATGGTTGTCCCCCTGAATGTCTTCCCTCTGCCCAGAAAGGAGAACAGAAGTGCAGTTAGCACCCCAGGGATGGTTTGGAGACCCCAGTCTGAGCTGGAAGCCCCCTGCCCCAACATCTCTGGGTCCCTAGGGGTGCTCACGTCAGCAGCTGGGCGTTGTCATGCTTTTTGCGTGACCTCAGCGCCTTCTTCCACTGCAGGAAGGACCAGAGCGTGGCGTTGGCATCGCTGGTGACAGCGCACTGGTCTCTCTCCGTCCACACCTCCAGGCCGATCAGGGCCACCTTGATATTCAGAGACCTGTAAAACTGCAGGGAAGGGACAGGGATGGAGGGGACAGGGACTGGCATTTGCTATACATCCTTCATCACTGCCACAGTGTTTCAGCTGGGTGACTTGGGGACATAGTTGTCCCAAATCCACCTGCAAGCATGAGCTGTACAGGCACAGGTGTCGGCACAGGAGCCAGTCAGGGTGGCACAATGCCATCCATCAGCTGACAACGCCTAAGCATGTCCCTGCTCTGTCAAGGATGCCAGCACTGATTCCCATCCCCACAGTAGGGCAAAAAGCCAGCACCTTCTTCACTGCTGCAGCTCAGCTGATGGGTGGCAAAGCATTTTCCACCACTTGCTCACATCTGCCATTTAAACTCCTAACCCCAGTGACATGGTGACAGTCCTTGAGGACCAAGCTCATGCACCGGGAATGATGGAGGTGGTGGAAGGTCCCTCTTGCTGGCTGTTACCTTGTCCACGTAGTTTGCGATCTCCACAATGCGCTGCTTGGTGAGGCCCAGGTTGAGGTTCTGGTTCCTGTACTGCAGAGAGATGGGGATGGGGAAGGGTCACCAGAAGAAGAGCAGGGAAGGAGACAGAGAAGGGTCCCAACTTTTCGGCAAGGGACCAGGTTTCTGCCCCTCGTGGCGCTCACCAGTGTGTGATCGGCAACAATGAAGAGCTCCATGTACTTCATGGTCCTCCAGGCATCTCTCTTGGGCTGCAAGACAGACAGCAAGGCTTGGAGGAGTGAAACAGCGGGCAGCCTGCGGCTCTGGGTGTCACAGGTTCCCCAGGCACTGCAGAGCTGCTCAGGAAGGACTGTCAAGAGGGGAAACTGAGGCATGAGGAGACCAGGAAAATTTGGGCAGCTTTAGTGTAATTCCCAATGTCACCTCACATCACATCCCACGTTGTACGACACAGCACCGATCCCCAACCCACACATCCTCCCTTTGAGATCTCCTGCCTGAACTGAAATGAGGTGAGGTCCCCATGAACACCCCTCATGTCCCATCTGCCTGTGCAACCCTGCCCAGATGCCAGGGTGACAGGCACCCCGCCGCAAGCTGCAGCCATTTAGGAGGGGCACAGACGGCCCCACTCTCAGCCCTCTGCCCCTCCACAAGTGAAGGACCCCAGGACGGATTTACCCGGTGGTGCACTGGCTGGAAGAGCAGAGCGATGTCAGCAATGGTGCTCCCGAAATCGTCACTGTGGCCGCAGGTCCCACCTCTAATGGGCAAGTGCTCTGCTCGGTGGATGATGTGGTGGCCCGGCTCGGGGGTCCCCAGGGGTTTCAGGTAGTAGCTGGCGTTGCTGCTTAGCACTATGAGGCCCCTGGCAATGGAGAGCAGCCCCCGATGGCTCCTGTGGTGCTTTCACTCTGGCTCCCCCAGCCCCTGCTGAGGCCCCACAAACTCACTGCACCTCAGCTTGGTCCATACCCGGGGTCGGGGCAGAGACAAGAGATGTGTGTCTCCGTCAGTACAGCCCCATGAGCTAATACATCCTTAGCATTAAAGGCTCCGTGCTGGTCAGACCACACAAACACGGGATGGGGTGGCAGCTGGTGGCTGCAAACAGGGCAAAGCTCAGTTGTGGGGTACCAGCCGCGGGGTGCGGGATCTTGCCTCCTCCAGAGAGGAATTTCCTTGAAGGCAGCTCATGCTGCCAGAAAAACGGCTTCTCCCCACCCTGCCCGCCCCCAGTGTCAGCTGAAGGATGGGAGAAGGGGAGCGATGGAAAACCAGCCCCACAAAGCATCTTGAGCTGGGCTTGCAGGACCATCGGCGCTGCTCCAGGGTCCCCTCAGAGGAGGGAGGAAGGGTGCAGCCGGATCCATCCCCCTCTTCGTCAGCCCCACAAGCTCCCCTGCCCTGCACATCTCCGTACCGTATTCCTGAGCAGGTGCTGAGGACGACCCAGGAGCCACCATAGCCCCGGACGTGTCCGTGGTAGTAGCAGTGGTCCTGAGAGAGAGGCGATGGAGACCTCCGTTAGAAACCACCATGCAGGGCTGGGCAGCAACAAATTCCATGTTCTCAGCCCAAAAAAACACCCATTTTGCATTTCCCAGCCAAGCGAGCGGTGTCCCTCTCAACGGACATCGGGAGGTGAATTCTTTTGTTTAGAAATGCAGTTATCAAAAAGCGAATTGCTGTTTTCCAGCAATAATTGTCCCCAAAAAAGAGAAAGGAAGGGGAGCACAACTATTGCAATGGACCACTTAAAGCAGTAGGTCCTTTATGAAGATGTGGAATGCCTCCCGCGACGGGCGCGGGGTATGCTGCCAGCGAAAACACCGCGCCTTGTCGCGGTGGGGCTTTTGGCTTCATCCCAAGTGCCAAGGCACCCTCAAAAAAGGAGGTGAGCTACGCCCGTCACCCGGCACCCACCGTGTGGTTGGGGGCCACCGTCACGGGCTGCCCGTCCGCAGCGTAGTGTGTCTCGGTGTAGCCCGGCGCCAGCAGCCTGCAGTGAGAGGAGAGGGGAGAGTGGTGAGGACCCTCGAGCTGCTCTGGGTGTCCCGGCACAGGGACGCACTGAGCCTCTATGCCCAGCCCTGGGCAGCCATGCAGGGCTGAGCCGTCTGCATCTTTCCCCTTTGCAGCCCCCTCCACTTCGGGCAGTGGAGCTGGCAGTGTGGCCATCACCGCTGCGTCAAGGCTAGCCCCTGACCAGCGGTTGGTTGCCCACAGCCAGTGGGGACATGAATAGCAGTCCAACATCTCCCTTTGTGTCTCAGAGAGGAGACATACTGCCCATACTGCTTTGAGGTCCTGCTGGTCTGGGACAGGGGACCTACGCAGGAGGAGCCCGGCTGCCCACCCACCCCCTGGTTCAGTGGCCATCTCACCACCACTGAGGATGAGCAGCCAGGTAAGGTGACAGCTTCTCCATAGGGACCAAACCTCCCTTGGGACTACCAAATTCCCCAGAGCGGGAAGCATCCTGCTGGAAGAAGAAGGGATCAACACCGTACTTGGGGTCCAGCTGAGGACACAGGAGGTTTGAGACCTCTGACAGAGCCACTGCCTCCAGCCCTGGGCATGGCCCTTTGCCTCACTCATGGCACAGTGAGGGTGATGCACCTGGTGCAACACCCCAGCAACAGGGTGCGGGGGTCCCCCAAAAACCAGAACCGATCATGAGAAAGCTCAAACTGCTTTTAGCAAAGTCTGCACCCTCCCCTGCCTTCACCCCGCGTGCCTCAGCTTCCCCCCAGCTGCAGTCCATCTCCCACCAAGGCTGGTCCCAGGGCCACCCCACGCAGCCCTGTCCCGGGCTGACAAATTGCTTCCTGCTGTGGGGAAGAGCCAAAGCTGAGCTTGCAACCAGCAACCGTGTGGGGCTGGGGGTCCCCGGGAGCTTACAGGGGGAGATTGAGACTGAAATGAACCCACAGGTGGTGGGAGAGAAGAGGAAGGGATGGGGGGTTCCCATGCCCAGATGCCAGGGTGATGGGCACACCACCACGAGCTTGCAGCCACCATGGGGACAGCTGGTCCCCCAAGGGACAGCGCGCATGCAGGGGTCTCAGCCACTCAAAGAAGGCCAAAGCAGGGCTGGGTTTACCCCTGCTGACAGTTTGGCCCTCGATTCGTGGGGTTTGGCCCCGTCCCAGGGGTTTTATTCTGCAGAAGAAGAAAATAAACCCAGCAGCAGACCCCAGAATAGCCCTCCCGCCTCTTGGTTTCTATTTTGCAACCAGTTTGGCCTCAAAAATGTTGCTGTGGGCACATTCCCGCCTTCCCAGCCCGCCTGTGAGTGGGTGCTTGGCACCAGTAACTCCAGTTACAGCGGAGAAAGGAGACAGGAGCTCAGCCTGGGTCCTAGATAGGGACCCGTAGGCAGCCTGGCAAGACAAGTGCCCAGCTAGTGCGGGGGCAGATGGGCAGCTGGGGACAGGGATGGGGACAGGTCGGCTGAAGACCCATAAGAGGCAAAAGCCATGGATGCCATGGATGATCTTGAGTGCCACAGACAGTTCTGGGTGCCACAGATGGTCCTGGGTGCCATGGACTGCCCTGGGTGCTCAGCTCCCTTTTGCTGCCACCAACCCCCTCATCTGTTTCACCGTGCCCTCATCCAGAGTTCAGCATCCTGCAATGCCCCAGAGTCCTCCAGTCCTGCCAGAGGCACCACAACCACCACGGATGCTCTTCACCCATCCTGGCCACACTCATCCCTTCAGCATGGCAAAGTGGTACCAAGACAGAATTAGGGTCATGAGAATCACAGAGTGGAATCACAGAATGGTCAGGGTTGGAAGGGACCTCTGGAGATCATCTAGTCCAACCCCCAAGAAGACATACAAACATCTCCAGGCCTGATGCACCAGCTAGAAAAAAGGGTAAGCTTCGCACTTGAGCTTTCAACCCCCACTGCCAACCCCGCCATTGCCCACAATCCTAAAACACAACAGGCATGGCAACTCCCCAGTTCTCGTTTCCACACACCAAAAGCCCCTCTGAAGGTCGCTGGGACCTGCTGCCCAGCAGGGCTGTTCGGGGGACACCATGGTGGCTGCTTTTGCACCCAAACAGCAGCAAGAAGAGGGCTCTGCCAGGCACGAGCCTCCCACAGCTGCTGGTGAGAAGCAAAAGTGGAAGCAGAAGCCCATCCTGCAGAGATCAGCTTTCTGCCCTGCTCCACCACGGGGCCACCTGGCACCAGGAGGGACCTGAATCCAAAAAGGGACAAATGCCACAAGGTCTCAGGGAGAGGGGCAAGGAGAACAGGGCAGAAGATGGAGACAATTGCTCTCCTTGCGCCACCCCCAGCATGAGGGGATGCCAGGCTGGGTGAGAGTCACAAGGGACAGATGCTGCTGGCACCTGCATCCAAGCTGAACCAAAGAAAGGGCCCAGAAAGGGCGAAGCAAGGCTACATGGCAAGGTCACTCAGGAATGGTGCCAGGCTGCCAACCCCAAGACCAGTCCAGCAGAAAAGCAGCAGGTTTCCAAATCACTGCCAGCAGTCAGCATTGCCCACCACGAGATACCTCCAAAGACCTCACAGGATTAGCCCTACCAGTGGGATGGCAGCCCAAGAGCCCCCTGGCCAGCTGACCCTCTGCCTGGCACATCTCCATCCCCTAAGCACCCCACACCGCCTTCACCCATGCTGGGTCCTGCGCCGTGGCATCGAGCCAAGACTGTTTCTTGCACAACACAGGTGTGAGCAGTGGAAAAAGGAGCATTTCAACCCAAACTACCACATTAGCCACAGCCAGCAAGAAGCCACACCAAGCTATCCCTTCCCCTGCCGGCAAGAAAGCCAGGACAGGACAGCCAGGATACTACTGCTCTAGGTGGGACCATGCCAGGGACATCCAGCTCCCCTTCCCCAGACCCAACCCCAAGACTTACTGGTTCCTCTCCAGCACCAGGACGAGCTCTCTGCCCTCAGCCATCACAGCCAGCTTTGCCCGGGCAGGCGCCAGCACCTATGGAGGAAGCAAAGGAGGGACGGAGTTAGAAAAGACGGAGCCCAGGATGCTGCCAGCTGGGTGCCTGCCTACCCTGCTGCCTGCCTGTGTTATTGTAGGACCTACCGCTCCGTTAGCAACACAATGGACAGCAGATGCAATGGATTTTGAGCACCATACCTGTCTGTAAAAGCAGGAGCTGCTTTTCCAACTGCTAAAATGCAGCAGGAGCAGTGAGAGCACGCGTGCTCTAGGGCAATGGTGGGGGTGCATGGGGACTTGGGGGCCAGGAGGTCCCTGAAGATCCCCAGTCGCTCTGCAGGGGACATCCCACACCACCTCTCACCTCCCAAAAGCTCAGTCCCTTGATTCAAGCTGGCAATGGACCATGAGGCACCCTGTGCTGTTCCCACCGGACACTATCTCCTCTGCCCATCCCTGTCCCCAGCACCTTCCTCTGCTCCTCAACTCAGGGCACATCCCAGCCTCTCCTCCGTGGATCTGCTCCACCTACTCCATCCTCTGCTGCAAGCCCGTGGAAGGCATGAAATAAACGCTCCTGCTTGATTTCCCATGAACAGCAGCAGATAAAAGCGGATTCGCGCTGGGATTCACCTCACAAGAGAGGGGGTGAGAAAGCAAACCCCAACTCTGCTGGCAGCTCCCCCAGAAAAAGACATCAAAAGAGAACAGATATGGGATACAGGATCAGGACCACTGCCCCGAGCATCCCAAATGGAGTCTGTGTGCTCTATCCCACCGCAGCTTCATCCCACTGGAGATCCTGAGCCAGATCCTGTGGAGGCTGCTCCCTGGGTGGGTCGGCACCTGTGTGCACCCCTGCAGGGTACGGAAATAAATAGCAACCGCCCGGGCACCGGATAACTGCACCGTTAAAAATACGGCAGGGCAGCAGGAGGAAACGATTGACTCAGCTTCCCCAGGATGCCGGCGGTTTTACTCACTCCCTCGCTTTGGAGGGCATTAAATGGGAACCCTATGCAGGGATCCGCACCAGCACGGCTCGTTTACACGTGACGGGATGGACTAGAGCCCAGAAGTTCTGCCCTCCTCCCATGTCCCCACATCCCTTCCCCAGCTCCAGCGCTGGGGACACTAAAAGCATCTCCCTGACTCTGTTTATGGCCCAGACATCGTGGCTGGATCTGTCTCCCTTGCTCGGTTCCCTCCCCATCCATGACGGATGCAGGGAGCCTGGCAGGCTGCCAGCCCTCAGCCCCGTGCTCGGGATCAGCCGCGGGGCTCCAGCACCCTGGCCACGAGCTGGCGAGGTTTTCCCAGCTCTGGAGGGAAAGGGGAGAGGAAGGAGCGGTCCCCGCAAGGCTCTGGCTTTGGCTTCTCTCAGCATCACGGGGTTTTGCAGCCGGTCACTAGGAATGCAGTGAGGCAGGGGTAAAGTTGGGTGATTCCCAGCTTGGGCTAAATCCTGCTGTCCCCTCTCATCCCTATAGAGGTGGCCATCAGCAAGGCTTTGCTCTTCATGCACCCTGATCCCCACCCCATGTCCTGGGCGCTGTGGATGCTGGGGAACCTCCAGCCTGGCAGCCCCAGGCCCACCCTCCTGGGGACCATCATGCTTTTAAGGGGCAGCATCACGGGACAAAGTGTTTTGGGGTGCAGGGCAGCCGGGTACCACCACTGCTGCACCCCAGGACACGGGGTTTGCAATTCCAGGATGGGTGTTCCTGCAGGTCCACCCCAAATTGAGCTCCAGGGATGGATGGACCCCATTAAGCTGCTCAAATTGGCCACAGCGATGCTCCTGGCCCCAAGGAGACCCATGGGTTTGAGACCTTATGGTCCCATTTCCCAAGAACGGGGAGGTGCTGGTCACCCCAGTATGGGTGGGGTGCTGGAGTGGGACTGGCCAAGCCCCTCTCTGCCTCCAACACCATCTTCCCAGCTCCAAAAAAGGAGATGAGACACAGCACTTAAAAAAAAAAAAAAAAAACAGCAAAGCAAGTCGATTCCAAGCTGCTTCCCAGTGAGTCCCTTTGGCACAGCCATGGCATAGCCATGGTCCCAGCTCCACGGTCCCCGCTCCCGGCGAGGGGCCCTGTGTGATGCAGGGAGGAGGAAGCCGGGGCAGAGGGCTCCCCTCCTTCAGTGATGGTGGGAACGGGCCGTATTTTTAGAACATGATCTTATACAAACATCACTCTCTGGCCAAACATGGTCTGTACATTTTTCTTGCCATTCCCCCCCCCCGGCTCTCCCTTTTTTCAAGCCCGTTTCTCCCCGTGTCTGATCTCCCTAACACCCTCTCCCTGCAGCCCATCTCCTCCTCCTCCTCCCCCTCCCACTCAGCCCCTGCCGGCTCCTTCCCGGTTTTGAATTCCCCAGCAATTACTCCCTGCCTCGACTTAAGGGCCTTTACTGGCAAAACGCTCTTTCCCAGCTGCCGTCTTAAAGGGACACGTGTTTGCAGGGTTATCCCGGTGTTCACAGCTCCCCGTGCACGCACTGTCCAGTCTCTCAGACTGCCAAAGGCTGGAAAACAAACTGCTGCTAATGGGGTCTGTGTCCCACCCCTGCAAGGAGGCACATGGCAAGCTCTCCCCTTCCCCATGCCTCAGTTTCCCCGGAGAGCACACGGAGAAGCAGTGGGCAGCAGAGGATTGATCCTGGTTTCAGCCAGGATGGGCTGAAACCAGCTCGGTGCCTGGAGAAATAAATAGCAAGGAGTAAGACAAGGGAGAAGGAGAGCGTGAGCACCAATCGTGACAGGCAGGAGTCAAAAAACCCCCAACTCTAAGGCCAGCAAAGGTTATTGCATTAATTAAACACTGATAATTTTGCCTTGAGTCTGTCAGGCAGGTCCCCAAAAGCTGCCAGTCAAGATGTTGTGCACCAGGAATGAGCGGGGATGAGCATCTTCCTAGACTCCAGCATCACCCCAAGCTCCAGCATCTTCCTGGGCTCCAGAATTTTCCTCCCTCATCCAAAGACTGCCACCTCCTTTCTCCAACAGCCATGAAAAGTATGCACCGGTCCCCGCCACAAGCTGCAGGAATAACCTTCCCTCAGCCCTGGCTGGATGTAGAGGTGGTGGCCCCCCTCCAGGACATCCCAGCAAAGCCAGTTCCACCAGGGGCTGTGCTAGGAGAGGCAAAGAGCAGCTGGGATGAATCTGCCCTGGCCAGGACCCAGCCCACAAGCAACCCAGAAGACCCACTGAGCCCAGTTCGAGTCTATTTTTCTTTTTCAATCCGCTGATCAGAAAAACCACAGCGATGTTTGCACAGGAGCTGAGGCCAAAGGGTTTGCATTGCTCTTCGAGGGGAAAGATGATCCTTGTCTCCCCACGGCTCCTGGCCATCCTCCTCGCCCAGGTTCCCTCCTCCACCCTTCCTGGAAATCTCCTGCTGCCCTGCAGAAGGGTGGCTCACCTGGGATTGGGCTCAGAGACCGCTGAGGTCCTTGGGAAATCACTAGTTAAGCCAAAATCCAAAAGCCACGTTCAAATCACAGCCCGGCCATCTGCGCGGGCAGGTCCCACAAGCCCTGATTTCCTAAGTAAACGCATGCAAGGCTGGACGTAACGAGGAAGACGGGGCTCAGAGTTACCATGAGATGCTCCCTGGAGGATGTGGTGATGGGTTTTGCAGATGGAGCATCATGGCTGAGCCAGGTCCTCCTCGGGCAGCTAGATCCCAGCAGCACAGTTAGGATTTGAAGAACACAGCTTGCAGATTGCATCACCTTGTCTTAAATGCACACCGGGATCGGGATCCAAGACCTTAATGACAAGGCTCTCGCTCCAGCTGCTCACTGGAAAAGCATCCTGGGGGCAGCCAGCTCCAGGGGAGTCAGGGGAACCAGGGTAATCCAGGCCCTGGAGACAGAGGCAGGATTTTGGTTGTTTTGAAGCAAACTTGGCTCAGGGACCATGTCAGGGTTTGCTCAGTCCTGCCACGCGTTGCCAAGGGAAAAGGGCTTCCCTGCAGGAAACAGATTGCAGGAGTGCATGTCCTCGGCACCTGGTGGTCCTTCTCCTCCCTTCCTTCTCCCGGAGCAGGGCTGTGACCCCACATGGATGTGATGCTCTCAGGGTAGGGGCCCCCACCACAGGGCCCGGGCAGGGAAAGGGTATCACCACCCGACTGCGGTGAGAGGGAATGTTCCAAGTGTTCGACAGCAGGGATGAAGGGGACAGCCATGCCCCACGCCCAGGACAGGGAGACCCTGGCTGCTCCAGGGACGCAGCAGATGATCCCGCAGTGTGAAGGGTAGCGGTGGGTGGATCATCAGTGCCAAGATGCATTCCCGTACAGGGCCAGGGTGCCAGGAGAGACCTGGAGGAAGGCTGAGGGGCTCTTCTGCCTGGGTGCTCATCAGCACTCGTGATTTATAGAAACACAGAATCGCAGAATGGTTTGTGTCAGAAAGGACCTTCAAAGATCATCTAGTCCAACCCACCCACCAAGGACAGGGACACCTTCCGCTTTGATAAGGTTGCTCAAAGCCCCCTCCAACCTGGCCTTGAACACTTCCAGGGAGGGGACACCCACAACTTCTCTGGGCAACCTGGTCCAGTGTCTCACCACCCTCACAGTAAAACATTTCTTCCTTATGTCCAACCTAAACCCACCCTGTTTCAGAGTAAAATCACTGCAGTGAGAAACCATGCTTGGGAAAAAGCAATTACAAAGGGAAAGCAGTAAGGCAGGGAACGCCACAGGCAGCATGACGGGCTGGGTGGGTCCCCAGGGAAGGGACAGGGGACTCCCGTACTTCAGGGCTGGATACTGGTGGAACACCTGGGCTAGGATGCTGGGCACAACCTCAGTTTCCAGCTCCGAAGGGCTGGGAAAGCCCACGGTCAGCTCTGGCAGCCTTCGCTCCGTGACCAGAGCCAGGAGGAAGGAGTGGGAGGAGGAGGATGCCGGCAGCAGCGGGGCAGGATCCCACCCCAAGCCGGCAGCAACAAGGGAGCTGTTTGCAATCAGGGTCCCCACGACCTCCTCCCCGGCCTCTCCAAAATCGCTTCCATGTGTGCAGGGAGCCGTCAAGCCCGCCGGGAGTTCAGTCCCGAACAATAGGAGAGAGGAGGGTGTAGAGGGGGGAGGCAAGGTCCAGCCCGCCCAGCGCCGTGCCAGCCCGCACACGATGGGACCACAGGGCCACCACCACCATCCTCCTCCTCTTCCCACTGGCTCCATCTCACTCCTCCGGAAAGAGGGAAAGGAGACATAGTGATGTCCCCCGGGACCATAGCATGGGCCACCCCACAGCATCCCACCCGCTGCACAGAGGAGGAGCACCAGGGGAAGGGACGGAGGAGCCTCAGGGCAGTTACCACGCTTGCATCCATCATTTCACGCGCTCAAATGTTGTCTCCTTGCAGACTCCCGCCCCGAAAGCCAGTCATTCCTGGACAAACAGAGTGGGCTGGCAGCAACCACACAGCCCTATTTATTTCCAGGATCTTTGCTGGAGGGCAGGAGGAGACAGGGCGGGGATGGGGAAGGGCTAAATTGATCCTAAAAATACACACATCAGCAGTACCAGGGCAAAAAAGGCCAGTTTGGGGCTCTGGCTGCAAGTGGGGAGCCCGCTCACTCCTACCCCATCCTTTGTCTGGTTGCCACCGTCCTTCCCCTGCAAAGCCTCTCCACTCCTGGCTGCGACCACCCTCCCTCTCCCTGCCTTCCCCCCGCTCCAAGGAACAGCAGCCTCCTTGTTTCGGGCTGACTGGAGCCAGCGGACGCAGAGCAGATGCCAGGAAACACACTGGGACCTACAAAGCCACCCCGTCCCCCACTGGTGGCCAGCCCAGCCCCACCGGCCCCAGGATCCCCTGGTGACTCCCGAAACTCAACGTGTGCCTCTGATTTGCACCCACCCAGCACAATTTCGGGCAGCGGGGTGTTAGGAGAGTATAAATAAACCTCCCACTGCCGCACATTCCCCATCTCGAGTGCCCTCCAACCTAAATATAGATCGATACAGGGGTGCTAGGAAGGGAGAGGACATTTCTGCAGGCTGACCACAGCATCCCCAATGCGATGGGCTATTTCAGCTACCAGAGAAGCATGATTCCCAGCAGCCAGTGCCGATCAGAGCGATGCTCCCGATTCCCCTGGGAAAAGGCATCATCCAGCCCCTCAGAGCAGGCAGGGCAGCACAAAGCCCCTCTCCCTCTCCACCTGCTGCAGGGAAGCTGGGCTGATTCACCCCCTCAGTATCTCCTGCCTGGACCAAGCAGATCTCACTTGGAGGCATCTCAGGTGGCTTCAAAGCTGCATCCTCAGCCCCTGCTCCAGAGAGATGCCACCAGAGAAGGTCACTTCTTAGCACTGAGTCTCCTCAGCAGCGAACCTGCTCAGCCCCAAAACACAATGATTTCCCACAACCATCCGCATTAGTGCTCGTTGTGCTGGGAAGTGATTTGATCTGCCCCGAAGAAGACCGCAGCCCCCGAGACCCTCCCAGCTGCTGAGTACGAGGACCAGCTGCTGTGGCCGACGGGCAGCTGCAGAGCCGGTTGACCCCAGAGCCCGGCAAGGCGCCAAACCCAGGCAAGGGTCATCACAAGCATCTCATGAAGTGGATTTGGAGACGGTGGGGGTGGCGGGGAGGGTGTGACAGTCAGCAGACCAGCCCTGGGAAGAGATGTCCTCTCCTTCCCACAGCCCATGCCGGGCTTCTTCACAGTGATCCCAAGGATATCACCCTTAAATCCTGCAGCACTTTCCCTTTAGCTAATACTGCTGGTCTGTCTATCCTGGGCAAGCCATCAGTCTGACAAATTACCTCCATCTCCTCTCTCCAAACTGCCCAGCTCCTTTCTGCTTGCCCTATAGCTCTTGGTCATCCTTTCTACTGGCCAATAGTCAAGACCACATTTAATTAACTTGCTGTTGCATCCGCTGCTTTCCCCCCGTATCCCCTGTTCATCACAGAATCACAGAATGGTAAGGGTTGGAAGGGACCTCTGGAGATCAACTAGTCCACCCCCCCTGCCAGAGCAGGGTGCCCTACAGCAGGTTGCACAGGACAGCATCCAGGCGGGTTTTGAATATCTCCAGAGTGGGAGACTCCACAACCTCTCTGGGCAGCCTGTGCCAGTGCTCTGCCACCCTCAAAGTAAAGTCCCTCCTCATGTTAAGATGGAACTTCCTATGTTCAAGTTTGTGCCCGTTACCTCTTGTTCTATCACTGGCCACCACTGAAAAAAGACTGGTCCCATCCCCCTGGCACCCTCCCTTTGAGTATTTATAAGCATTGATAAGATCCCCCCTCAGTCTTCTTTTCTCTAGACTAAAAAGACCCAAGTCCCTCAGCCTTTCCTCATAAGAAATATGCTCTGTTCCCCTAATCATCTTCGTAGCCCTTTGCTGTACCCTCTCCAGCAGTTCCCTGTCTCTCTTGAACCGAGGAGCCCAAACCTGTATACAGTACCCCAGATGTGGCCTCACCAGCGCACAGTAGAGAGAGAGGATAACCTCCCTCGACCTTCTGGCCACGCTCTTCTTGATGCACCCCAGGATGCCATTGGCCTTCTTGGCCACAAGGGCAGTATGGGTCCTATAAACTCGACATCCTGCTCACGGGACCTCCAAACTCAACGTCTCCACACAAGTCCCACCATGAAAACCTCTGGGTTCAGGACCCAGCCGCGCAGTGCAGGGGAGAGGAACCGTTTCTGCCCTTACCTTTTCATCCAGGCTGACAGCTCGTCTGGTACGGCCCCTGAGGAGCCAGTGTGGTGTGACACGCTCTCCATGAGATGGTGACCCTGGGAAAGTGAAGACCTGGTAAGCACAGGAACAGACCTTGCAAGCCCCTGAGAGTGAGAGTTCCTCCGCAACCGCATCAAGAAAGAAATGGGGGGAAGGCACAGAGCTGGGGTCCCTGGGCAGCATCCAGGGCCACCTCTTAGGTGTTTCTGGGGGAGGGACACCAGCATGAAGATAAAGCGTTGCCCCTTCCCCAGGCTAGTACCCTCATTGCTGGCCCAGCCTTGCTCCTGGCAGCCTCCCAAGAGCATTGCTGCCCACCCAGGTCCCAAACCCAGTGGCCTAAATCCCCTGAAACCCCCCTTGGAGAGACAGCTGGCACATGGGTGTCACCACCCTGGCCCCACTCGCATCCTGGCCATCACCAACCAGCTCAGACAAACCCCATCAAACACCCCCAGGGCACCCCAGCCCCGGGTGAGGGCAGGGGCTGCACAGGCAGCAGTGTGTCCACCCGCCTGCTCCATCTCTCCTGAATCACACAAACATTCCTCTTTTTTCTTTGGCTTTATGCTTTTACACCATTGATCATCATCATTTATGGGACAGGGAAGTGTGGTTCGATCACCCAGAAATGAAGCCATCACCCTTCCAGACAGAGCTGGGCTCATGCAGGGAGCAGAGGAGCTAAAATAGCTGCAGCACATTACGGGTTTCTCTGAGCCATCCCAACTCCCCGGGGCAGAGCAGTACAAGCAATTCCTTGGCTCGATTAGAGACAGGCAGACTTTCTAAGAGTTGGGAGGTTGTTTTTTTTTTCCTAAACAATGTGGCTGTATTTGATTGCAGCAGAGCGAGCAGCTACTGATGACTTAAGCCTGGACAGCAACAGAAAGAAAAAAAAAAAAATCTGAAGATGCTACGGAGAGGGGATGAGGTCTATTGAAAATGTCAAGGGCTGGACCACCTTGCCAAGCCAAATGTTGTCAGCAAAAGCTTGGACCTAGTAACCTTCCCCAGCAAAGGCCAAAGTTATTTACGAAGGGAGTGGAATAACAGGGCTTATGGCTTTATAATTTTATATGCTTGTTTTGGTTCCCCTTGCAACTATCTAGGGGGATTTGGCTTGAGGAAAGACGAAGTTATTGAAAAGCAAAAAGGAAAAAAAAAAAAAATGGAGTTATCGGTTGGGAACTGCAGACTGAGTGTTTAACATGATCGAGCTACCCAGCCCGGCCATGCCTGTCCCGCGAGGCCCCAGGACGCGCCTGGCGCTATCGCACAGTGGCATTTAATCAACTTTCATTATATATAGCATTTAATCAGATTCCAGGAATAACTGTAGATAAGGCGGTGGCACGATCCCAGTTTCCTTCTCCTCACCTCCTCCGAAAGCATTAGCAAGGCCCTCCAAACCCCCAGCCATATATAACCCTCACTTTCTGGCGGGGAAACCGAGACATGGCCGCGATGCCACTTGCGTTCAGCCACGAAGGGTGAGCAGCTCCGGCAGGGTTTGCTGCCCTCACGTTACAGATGAAAGGGGGAAAAATATCCTATTTTTTTCCTTCACTAGCTGCTGCAGAGGGAGAAGGGCAGGGAGACGCTTACTCTCCCGGCTTGCTGCAAAGCCCGTCTTTCTCCCACGCTGTCTGGGGAGAGGATGGGACACGAGGGGCAGCCGTTCTGCTGGGATTACTGGGCTGGGCTTCGGGCCACATCGTAAAAACCTCTTGGTTATTATATTAAGCTTCTTGCTGTTTTGACTACAGCTTTTGCTGGGAATCGGAGAAACTCGGAGCATAAGATAGGGCCTTAAAAATTTAAGTCAAATAAATTCAAATGTAGGGCAGAGGAGGTTTCTCACTCCACCCCCCGCCCCTTCTCTTTTTTTCCCCTGGAAAACACACTCATTCCCAGTCCTTTCTGGGAATGCTGTGACAGGAACAGCATTGCTTTGGCAGGGCTTGCACCCCTGCGGCCAGGCAGCCCCGCATTTGGGGGATGCCTGAGCCCAAAGACGAACCCTGCAGCGCCAGGCTCCAGCAGAAGCGGGCAGCTTTCCCGTCTGCTCCTCCTCTCCTCTTTAATCCAAACAGAGGTTTCTGGCTCCCACCACCCTCCCCGTTCCTCTCCCAGCTGCGCAGCTCACACAGGTCTCTCTCGGAGTTGCTGGAAAACTTATTTTCAGCAGCAGCAGAGAACCCAGCAAAGCTCGAAAGTAAAACAAAATAATAAAACAACTTGTGCTTTGCGCAGAGAAGCATCAGCCTCAGCTTCAGCTTCTTGGAGGGGTTGTGGAAGGAATTAGGGATGGAGAAGAGACTAGAGGAGGCTGAACACAACCTGGTAACCCCACCCCACCCCACATTTGAAAAGTGATAGGAACCTCTGGGGAAATCATGTATTTCCTCAATAGCAGGAAAAGCCAAGTTTCACCCCGAAACACACACCAGCAGCACAAGCCACTGCCAGCTTCCTTTCAAGGTGCCACCACCCGGAGCTGGGACAGTTGCAGGGACTCAAGGGAGGCTCAGGATGGGGAGACGAGGGGGTGGGGGGGGTCTCTGCCGTTCGGGGG